TATATATATATATATATGTAAAATCTTTTAGCTTTGAGTGTTTTTCTGTATTTTATTGTACAGCACTTTGATCCTTTGGATGAGTTTTAAAGGGTTTTATAAATAAATTTAATTGGGTATTATTTAATATATTCATAATTATAAAAAACAAAATGTGTCCAAACGTTTGATTTTAAGGACAAAGGCACTTCCAGAACATCACTTGCAGCTTGTTGTTCTTTGCTCTGAACAGAAATCATTATACCGCCCCCTAAAGGGTTGGGGTGGAGTGTCAATATTAAAATAAAGTAAATTAATATGGCTGCACGATACATCGTTTGAGCACTGTGATGTACGTGTGCGATGCAGAAGGCAAATTAAATCAACATGTAAACTCGGCATAATACACAAGATTTTACCCATTTTGTCACATAACTGGCATATTTTCTTTTGATATTGTCCCAGCCAAAGTGAAACAGGAAGTGACATATAAGGGGAACTCATTAATAATATAAACTCTTTGGTTTATTGAAACTAAATTATTTGAACTCTGACGCTTCTTTATGTCTCTTGATAGTGACTCAAAATAATCTAAATAAATATCAAATTCTTCTCAGTCTGTGTTGTTAGCCATTATAATGATGCTCTATGCACATGCAGACATTCCCTTTTGACATCACTTCCTGTTACATGCGAACATCTCAACAAGTGTTCATCTCAATGTTGTGGAATTATTTTTTATTTTTTTGCTATGTGTTGTTATTGTTATTTTTCAAAAAATGGATTTATATTTACAACAAAAAATTGATGTCACAGGCACTGTAAAGTAGCCTGGCCCTTGCCTTCCTACGCAGCTCCGCTCAATTCTAGTTTCCCTTCACTGCTCTGTCTGGGACTTCTCCCATTGAGATGGATTTTGCTGGCAGATTTTTAGCCGGGCCAATCAGAGAAGAGAACGTCAATTTTCTGCGCAGTGTCTGCTTGTAGTTTATTTTACCTGAACCAATCAGAGAACAGAAGCAGGAGTTTTGAATGACGTCAATGTTCTGCGTAGTTTCTGCTAGTTAGTTTAGCATACGGCAGTGGAGGAAGTGAATGAAGCCAGTCCGTGTTGATAAGGCTTCCAAATAAAATTAAATATGTCTGACAAAGCAGCAACTCTCATTTACAGTCGTCTCGTTCGGCTCGGTATATTTCTCCTCTCAGTAGGGTTGTTTACAGCACACGCGATTTCCGGTTAGCTTCTTAGCTTAGCCTCCGTCACAGCGACAACACACACATGCTTCAGCAGAGGCCACGCCTCCTGCAAGAAACGATTCTCTATGCAGCAAGTCCAGACCCTTGTACGAAGCAAGGTGAAGGACAGGGTCTGGTTTTAACCAGGCTAACTGTAAAGTATCATTTAAGTCGAYTGGTGAAAATTCCTGTATTTTTTGATATCGCAATGTACAGTATATCGCAGGGTTAGAAAAAAAGGCAATGTCAGTTTTTTTCAATATTGGTATATAT